TTGAAGTCAAATAAAAACATTCTTGCAGTGTTCCGAGATTCTATAAGAAAGATTCACCATGGAAAGCTTTAATCCAAAGTTCAGATGTTGTGACGACTGGAGAGGTTAACTATTGACCGAGAAGGAAACTATATTGCAATAACGCATATCGCTTGAATGATCCAATGTACGTACATTGCAAATACATAGTACGTACAGCCCTGGATTTACGGACGTCCATTTCACGTACACGTACGGTTTATCTCCTCACATTTCACGTACATGGTACGTTATTTTTGCACCACTTTGTACATACTAGGTACGTACTGTGCTGTACGTACTATGTACGAGAGCACGAGGAATTACAGTATACGTAACAGTAAATCTAATGTACGTCCGGCAACGTACGTACCTAGCATGTACAAAGTAGTGTTAAGATAACGAAACATGTACGCAAAATGTACGTATACATGAACCGTAAGTGTACGTGAAATGTACGTTCGTAAATCCATCACTGTACGTACTAGGTATGTGCAATGTACGTACTTGTGTTATTTGAGAAGGCGTCGGTAATAATAGAAACCAAACACCGTAATATACTCTATTCAAGTAGAGGTAGAGACTGCTGATAATTTTCCCTGCAACAATTAAACAAGTGACATTGTCTTCTATTAATCAAGGCTCTACAAGAGTCACCAAAAGTTTTGTACAAAAAGTAATTATTAGGTTGTATATCAAACTGTAAGTACGGAAATACAACAATAATTAACACACTGCCGTTAAGACCCCTTGCCACACTAATTAGTCTTTGTCCGACGTCGATGTTGAACATTACTAAAACGAGAAACTTAAGTTAAATATTCGCATTTAATTAGGTGGCTCTAGAGAGGTAACCGCCGAGAATGGTTTACGGCACCACCTCATTTGTTGAAAATGAAATTACCGTTACTAGATGTTCTAAAATCGTGCGCTTCTAAAGCAATAGGTTTCAATTTGAGGGTAAATACAAAAAAAAGCTCCACTCTCCGGTTAAGCTTATAAGATTTTTATTTCGGGATTTTATAAAAAATTGGATATACCTTTTCCTTTCAAATTTCAGACCCTATAAAATCCCTAAAATCATTTTACAGTAAATCCTGTGATTGAAAATGTATCAAGAATGTTTTCGTTTTTTTTCTCTGTTCAAAAGGGCAGGTTTGTGGAGCAACTCAACTCGAAGTCTACCGTTAATACAATTATGTTGTTATAAGCTGTCGTTTGAAGAACGACGTGGCACTTGTAAATAGATTAACCTCTGTATTATACTCGATCGCGCATATGTCGAACTGTTTTAATCGGATTTCAGCATTTGTAACGAGGAGAGACGTTGATTTTGTTACAGTTCCTTCAAGTATGAGAAGCTCGTAAACCTAATTCACGCCTTTTTTACTTTTGTGCAGTGCATGATATAATAACGCTAATATTTGATTGGTAGAGCGTGGAGTAGCCTAATATACTTTGTAATCAGAAGTACCAGCGACAAAAGCTCTTGCGCCTCTTGAATGAATTGAAAATGCCCTATGCAAGATTACAAAATTTCCGCTAAATTGATGGCGTGCCGGGATCAGGACTAGTTTAAAACGTAATGTTAATAAAAGTTAGACAAATAAGAAACACGTGAGTAGTGCGGAATGTTTGAGCCATTAATTTGACTAGAATTGGTTTGTTTCATTTGAATTTGTATTTGTGTAGTGATATTTTTCCTTTTAAGATCGTTTGTGAATGAATATGGTTTATTCGAATTTGTTTAAGTAACTGTAAAACGTGAAATTGCGTGTTAAAATGTAGGCACATCTGTTCGTTTGCGATATGAGTGTTTGCTGTTGGACGAGATTTAATTAGCGCACGTGTTTTTTTTTATCGCTGTTAGAAGAAATAAGGAGAGATGCAGGTGTTCAACGATGTGCGCATTAATTCGGCGTAAGTAGGGACGCATTTGTCGAAGCGGCATTATCAAAGGTAATTATTATTGGCGTTTCACGACGGTTGGAAAGCGTACGTTTCATTGCGCTATTTTTTATTCGGCCGTTCTACCCTATTTCATTGTTTGATTTTCAGAACGTCTGTGGCGGTTCTCTTATCTAATGTTTGTACCGTCTGAATAGCCACCGGAAATTCCCCATTTCATTCATAGGGTCATGTTTGCCATTAAGATTTGTATCATAAAGAAAAGTGAAGTTTGGAAGCTGTCAGCGTTAATGTGTGGGGTTAAGTGCGCCTCAATGAGGGGAGGTAGAGTTGGCGCTGCGTTACCAGCTGCATAAACACCCAACTAGCCCAGAGTTAAACTCAACATAAGAGCTTGAGAATTTTCCACAGCGGTAGTTCGTTCTGTGTAAGATGATCATAAGGCAACGCTTACCTTAATGTAAATTAAATGTCATCCAGAGAAGTGGACTCAGTTCCCGGATCCATAAACATGCATACAAAAGAAAACTCCCAAGCCGCAGAGCTCGGAATGCAATAAACTGAACAATGCCTGAAAATCCTGGCCTTACTCGTAGTAAGCTTCTATCACAAGTACGATACTAACTCGGCCAATCTTTCCAGAAAGAGGTCACATAGACAAATAGGTCAGTACTGAAGTTGGCAAACCAATTGAAAGCAAAATAATGATCAATTATTACGCTAAACATTTACCTACGGAAGTTGTTTCATGGTTAACGATCGAATCCTTGATATCAAATCTGGTGTATGACCCAATTATTCAACTTCAGCAAATGGCGGCTCGTTATCAGAAGATGGAAAGTCTGTCAAAAGGTGTTGACCCACGCAGGCAAGCTGAATTTAACCCAAGGTTCCCACTCGTACGTGGACAGAGTTGTGGGCAAAGCGTCTCCCAACTTAAACTGGTCTTTACAGTTTAATAAAATTCCATTTGTACTGGTAACAATAAATTAAAATATGATTTGAACCGAAAATTAAAGCTGGACTTTAACCCTCTTTAAAACTCCGAAAGAAAAATCAAAGGTGACCCCTTCGTTGATAACCAAAACTGTACATACCTCTTTAAATAAGAGGGCTAATTATAGATGAATCAAACAATAGTCCATAGAAATAGTTTTACAAATATCAGCCGAACCTAAGATACACTGCAAGTAGATGCAATGCAAATGGAGGGTACTTATGATAAGCCAGAAAAAAACGCAATTATAGTATCCTCACTATATCGGAGTTAAGGTAAATCCGTCCAAACAATATTATTTATTTTAATTTTATTTTGGGTTTATTTTTGAGTGGGCGGAGTTTCAGCCAAGGCTGCTCTACCAACCTAACCCACTGTACATTTACAAATATCCATGCCCGAATCCGGATTTGAACCAGGTGCCCTTAGCACCACAGTTCGGCTTTAACTGGACTGTGCCGCCCGGGCCGGAATCCGTAAATTATGAATTCAATCGCCAAAGTTTTACAACATAATGGGTGGCGGCAATTAAAATCCTATGCGTTTTCCAACTAACGCCTCAGCTGTTTGTCTACGAACTGCACTGTGTTAGAGCTCGCAAACGAAAAAGAAAAGTGAATGTGAGCAATCGATAACCAACGCGCGCTAAAATTACGCGGTTAAAATTCCAAGGATCTCTCAATAAGTAAATATTGGCTGCCTTGTAATGATGAAAATAAACCGTTACACATTGTTTATCGCAAACCGTTGAACGACCAAATTATTAGGACTATTAAAAATTCCTTTCAGATATATTTTTAACGTTCTAGTGTTACGGAATAAAATTTTGTCATTGTCAATCAATTAATTGTGTGTTTATTCGAACCCATTTTGCGACCCTTAAGAGATTTCATGTCAGATTTTTATTCTCGTGTCCAAGAATGAAAATTTGTGTAGTTAATCCTTAACAGATATTATGTGGGTGGTGTAGTTGATCGCATACCATTGCGCCCAGCAATATATTATATTTGCAGTCTGGAAGTAGGTAATCTTCTATTGCCTACACTTTTAATTAGCTATCTGTTTCTTGCCATAAACACTAAGTTTACCATCCGTAACCATTTAAAAGTGTCATAACTACACGCGTCTCCCATAGTTTTTTTTTTGCTATACCTGCAATATAATTTAAAAATAAGGGAAATTAAATAAGAGGAATTAGAGGAATTGGCACCGAATATCCACGGTATGTTTTTTGGGGGGCCCAAAGGAACCAAAACATGTATCTTTTCAATCAAATCCAGAACGTATCTTTTGGGAGGCCCAAAAGTGGCAACATTTGCCTGTCTCTTATAGTAGGGCAGATAAATGCTAACAATTGCCTGAATTGTTCAGATGATGATACAAGCATGAAAAAACCCTCTGATAAGGGTACCGTTTTATATAAACATGCTGGCAACCTAGAAATATTAATATGGACGCCGTTTTCCAAGATGGCGGCACATATTATTATTAACTTAGTGGTAACTGATAAGTATCTTTCAAATGATGATACTACCAAACTGTTTTCCAAGAAATCAGTTTTATATATTTATCAGTGTTCACTAGCTTACTCTAAGTATTTTATTATGGACGCTATTGCGGAGCATCGTAGCTGTTTGCTAGTCATGGTGTGGCCCTACACAGCCTTGGCTTCCTATTATGACCTACTTTTTAAAAAAGTTTGTTCATTTGCGTACTATTACAACTGTACTAATTGAAATGGTCGTAAGTGCACGTAGAAATACCAGTCTAATGTTAGGTCGCAATCTATTTCATATTTTATACTTCATTTGGTATTCATCCCATTTCGTACAACCCTAAGGCAAGTTTGCCCTTATTAAAAATAAAATATTTTCATAAATACATTTTTTATGACCTAAAGCGTAGACGAATATTAAGATGGTCGTACGTCAACCTTATTTAATTGAGCTTAATTCAAATTCATCCGCCCCGAACGCTTTCAAGCGAGTCATTAACTAGAGTAACAAAAATTCAATTACGGCGTACACGTAGATGCACTAAATATCTGACTTGAAAGTAAATCAAATTAATTTTCCAGAACAACCCGCATAATAGCTTCAAGAGCATACCTGAAGGACTATGGTGGGCGATAGTAACGATGACAACGGTCGGATACGGTGACATGGCCCCGAAAACTTATGCGG